GTTTTGTGCACGTGTTTTTTTTTTTGAGATGGATGAAAATCAGTTGCAATTATCGCCTCCTAGAAAGCGCCGCGGAAAAGCTCTTTCAGTAGACGACAAAACATCTAGTATGAACATTTTTAAAACATGCCAGAGTGAAATTCCACAGGATTTTAAAGTGGAAAGTATTAATTTTACGGTCCAAGCAAGTGGTAAATAAATCAAATTGATATATTTTTCGAACTAATTATGTTGTATTCTTATAAATCGCAAAATCAAGTATCTACAATGTTTTAAAACAATATGAATCGAATAATCATAATTGTCAACCTCTCAAAAAGTACCACTGAGCAAGAGAAGTTTTAGAGAACGTCACTGAAGAGGACAAAAATGTAATTCGACGAATAGTCCACTCCTTTTATTTAAGAATGAACCACCCACGTTGAATAAAGTATTGCGCGCTGTTAGTGGACGTGGAGAATTGCCTGAGTTTAAAAAGTCAACTTTGAAAAAATTGTTAATTGATATTAATTTTCGGTGAGTTAAGTTAAATTTTTAATGTCATGGTTTTAATGTACTTTTAGATTTAATGGAAGACATCGCAATAGCATATTGAAAAAAAGAAAACGAAATAATTAATTATCTGGCGAAGGAAGTTTTTAAGATAAATAAAAACGTTTAGAGAAAAGAAAATAAAAATATATTATCTAGAGTCTAGGCGAAAGCTGGGTAAATGCTGGCTGTCAATAAAATATGTCTGTGACAAATCCACGCTATGCTTTTCTGATGAGGTTTATCTACAGGACTTAAAAACCCCTCAGGAAAAGATGGACGATTCATAGTAGTACACACTGAATCTGAAGACGGATTTCTTCAAAATAGCTTGAGCTTGAAAAATCCCCGACATCTTCCACAAGAAAAGCAGAGATTCAGGACCGGCTGGTTAAAAAAGGAATAGAATTTAGGGAAAACATCGTCAAAGCAGAGTTACTGAATTTAGTTAAATTGAATAAACCAGTCAGTCGAAAAGTAATCGACGAAATGGCCAAAGTAACAACTAGACATGTTGAACGAAGGCCACCTTACCACTGCGAACTGAACCCCATTGAATTAATTTGGGGTCAGACAGAAAACGGCTGGCAAAGAAACACCAAATTTAAAATGACAGGGCAGCTTTTTCAAGAAGCTGTTGATAATGTGACGGCAGAAAATTGTCTTGAAATTGGAAAAAACGATATGGCGAATGGATATCGTTAAGGAAACAGAGATTGAACCTCTGGAAATAAATCTAGCAGAATCCGATCCAGACTTTTCTTCAGAAGATGACTAAATTAATTATTTAAATATACGGTCTTTAATATCTCATTAATTATTATTATGAAAGAGTTAGTTAAAAATAAAAATATTAAAGTATAGGCTTAAAAAACCCTACAATTATGGTGTTTGAATTTTTCTTTCTATTTCTAATACTTGATGAGACATTAAACACCGCTCGCTTAGTGACTCATCTTGCATAAATATTTGTTTTCTATTTTTGTCATTTGTATGTAGTTGCTTGTCAAAGAGAGTAAATATCTATAACAATTTGATTTTACATTTTTGTCAAATTACTTTCACAACCAGTTGGTATACAATAATAATTCCAATTTTACGGCCTTTAGGTTGGTAATAAAGTCCTATATTTGTCTTTTAAAATTATTTTTTTTGAGATTTGACATTTAAACAAAAGATACATTTTGCAATAGTTGACGTCATTTCCCATTAAATCAGGAAATCGGTGATGCAAATTGGAGATTCAAGATATGTTTAATAGCATGACACACAATTATACAGTGTGTCACGCTTAAAAATGAATTTTCAAGTTTAAAACCTTTTTTAAATCTGGTTGTTGACTGAGTCATCACGTGAAAAGCTTGGGTAACCATACTATAGGGTGAAAACTCAAGACGGATTATTGCAACACAAATCTTATTTTATAAAATTAAAAAAATATATATTATTGTAAATTTTTGAGATTAGGTCATCCAATTGGTAGTGGGGATAATTAGCTAAATTTTGGTGAATGTTTTACAATCTACATGACATTCCTAATGTATGTACAAAATTTGACAACAATCGGTCCAGTAGTTTCGAATTTTAGATGTCTAATAAAAATCCGGACGGACAAACAGAGATACAGACGGACGGACGAACGGACGGAAACCGGAAACCTATTTCTTCGTACTCTAGAGGTTATGAAAAGTCTCGACTCGATTACAATAGCTTACGCTCAGAAAGTAAGAAGTTCAAAAAATCTGGAATAACGTGGCGACATCGCATCAGAATTTCAAAAATAAATTAATAAGGTGATGAAACCAAGGTAGCTGTTATGCCTCAAAAATAAAACACTTTGTATAGTCGTAAACACCCCGTATACACAACTGTACATCTAGAAGCACATTTTTATTAATGATTTGCTTGATAATTTTTTGAGATGACATCATCAAATTTCCCAAAGTGATAAACAGATACATTTCTAAGAAATTCCTTAAATGGGTTTTATTTCAAGACCAACTATAAAATTTCATTGTATAAATTTTATTTTGTTTACGATAATTATTCAAATAGCTAACATTAAATGGGTGCGTTACCGGTCCCGGATCAATATTTTCGAAAAATTCGGTTTGAAAATGATTTTTTTTAAATATCTTGAAAACTTGAAAAACGGTCAAAAAATGTATGCTGTAGGGTATTGAAAAACTGAGATATTTGAAAAGTTTCCAAATAATTCTAAAAACATTCTGGGATATAGAACTCGACAAACTGATTCGTAAAACAAAATTGATCCCGGACCAATATTTTCGAAAAATTACATTTTAAGATAAAAAAAATGTTTAATACCTGGAAAACTCCAGAAACAATAAAAAAATTCGTGTTACTGAAAAATTGGGAACTTTGAAAAGTTCCCTAAAATCTCCAAAAAATTCTAGAATATAAACCTCGACTAGCTGACTCGAAAAATATAACGTTTTAATAAACTCGAAGCAAAATTTTAGAAAAAAATTCGATTTGAGAATATGGTTGTTTTTAAATATCTCGAAATCTCGAAAAACACATACACAGAGAGAGACTAAAATCAGAGGACCGACACTGCCGTATCCTAGAAGCTGCGAAATATAAAAAATACTAGACAGTATGCAAAATACATTGAAATTGACAAACTCACTATCTATGGATCACTTTGTAAGACATGTTTGGAAATGAGAAAATTTTCATTATTTTTTTTTATACGTATATAATGAACAGAGTATACAAAGTTATTCCTTCTTGGAAGTTATAATCAGAGTTAGGCATAGTCGAAGTGATGGGGAATCAATCAGACAAATATTAAATACGACTGTGTTACGTCAGGCGATAAATTTGGCTGGCCGACTGTGCACTTTCATCCTCAGTGGCGTTTAATGCAGTTCAAGGTTTATTTGATCAAGATCATTACAAAAATTGTAATGTTGAACAGTCATTTTTAATTTTTAAAGCAATTTTAACATCTAGGAGAACTCGTATAACTTAGGAAAACCTAGAAAAATTAGTAATTCTTATTAGAAATTCCCGAAGTTGTAAGCCACGACTGCAATAGCGCTGGCGATCGGACGGCAATGAGGATCACTTCCGCTATGCCGAAGAGTGGTTATAATACACGAAATACCCCATTGATATTTGTTAGTTTCTCACAGGATTTTTTTAATGTTAATATAACGATAACAGGAAAAATAATTACGTGCAACTAGTGAGAAGACACATGTCAAAAATTTTAAATCTGGTCAGATCTAGTGGTATGTTTGCAGATGTATAAAATTTTCTTTAGTTTAGAGTGTTAAGGTTACGATGAAGATTCTAAATCGCTAATCATCCCTTCCAAAAACACGATGACGTCGTTTTAAATAAAAGTTTTGCGTAAGTTTTCTTTTAAACTTATGATGTGATACGCCTTCAGTTTGTGTTTGAAAAATGTATTCATATTTGTATAGACATGTATTTCAGATAGGTATTTATTATGGAATAAAGTATTTTGTGTAAAAAATGTTAAATATAAAAACTACAGCATGTGTTCTCCAAAAACTGCAGCAAAATCATCATCTTTATTACCTGTTGTCTCTAAAAACGAAAAAAACTGTAGCTGTATAAATTCCGAGATAAATGGCCTCCAGGTTTTTCATTAGTATTATAATGAACTCATTAAACACTTAAAATCGGATGACAAAGAGTCAAACCCCTTTTCTGAAAGCATTCTTCTTGTCTATGGACATGATTTCGCAGTGGACCACAAAAAGTAATTTTTGTTCGAAATATGAAATAATAAATATACTGGATAAAATTTTCCTTTTCATGCTACATCAACCGCATTCAGCAGTTAGTCAAGTAAGTGAAGATTCCCCGTATTGTATTTTTAGGAATTCTCGTTACAAACTTTTTTATGCTAATTCAGTTCAGTGATCCTAAAAACTTACTAACACATATTCTTGGAAAAAAAATCTCGCCTCGTTACGAATTTGCCACGTCTTTTATCATATCGAAAATTTTGTACAATGACCGTGTTGACGTACAATAATAAGTTTTTGCACACATGCCAACGAAAGGTTGAAGTACACCTAGACAGAATTTGGACGCCGTTCATTTTTATTTAAGCGCTACAATAAAAATCCTCAGAATGTAGTCAACATCATTTGTATTTTAAACCGACCAGAATCAAATGAATATCGAGTGTAGTATTTTTAGCTGCACAATTACTAAATTTGTGGTAGAATCATGGCTGCAGCCTGTAGCGTTGGACTGATTTTAATCAGTTAATTTTAAATTCACTTCTTTCATAATATATTATGCAAACAAAAAAAACCTTAACACTTTAAAATCGCGTAAACACACCTCAACGCATCCACTATTATGCTGTTTAGAACCTCATGTCAGTCAAGTTCGCTACTGACGTCCACGTTTTGAATGATTAAATTTTAATTGAATTGATCTAAATTAAGAACACGGATTACCTCGTCGCCTCTAGGCGCCTCAATTAAGGAACTAAAGCTGGATCTTGACCCATGTCTGCCTATAGTGGCTGGTTCTTCTCCTGATCCCGAAAGTTCGGGTCTGCTACGAAAAGGACTCGTCCTTGCTGCTGCCCTTGACAGTCTGTCATTTTCAACGCACTGAGTCAATGGAATTCCGAATACTAAACCACCAGTTGTGCTGTTCCCTTCTGTAACAAGAATTATAATTAGTTGGGGTTGGACCAGATGTGGTTTGATTTATATTTTATACACATGCCGAATCCTTTACTATAAGACCATAAGACATCTCGTTTCCTAGAGCTTCGTCTACGTTACGGTTTCTTCGGATTATTTATTCACTTCTACAAGACATGTTCTTTTTAGAAGATTTACTTAAACCTAGTTTAGCCATCCATGTAGATAGGTTGAGGTGAGAATACATAAGGACAAATGTTAAAGAGACACTGATGAAGTGCTACTTTTTATGAAAAAATATCTGCAAATTTTTTTTAAACTCTATTCATCTAATCAAGTTCTAGGAAGTCGTCATCAATGTTTTGGATTGAAGATGAATAAATAAATTGCTTTTATTTAGCAAAATTAGCAGATTTAATATTTATGTTCTTCTAATTTTAAAGGCAGAAAGCTTTAATTTTCCAAAATAAATATATAACATTTTGGAAAATAACTGCAATCAAGGCGGATTCATAAACAACAAGTACCGGAATATACTATTTTATAAAACTGAAGTGGTATTTAGTACGCACTGGAATAAAAACACCAAAGGTAAATAGAAAGTGAAAAACTAGCTAACGACTTTCCATAATTTAATAAAACGATGTACTCAAACGTAAAACCTTTATCGTTTTTGGTCAGACTAATGTTTTCACGGCTTCTAACGCAAGGGACACACCAGCACTAAATATAAATTAAACTGTAAAAGCCTTTTAATGGAAGATAATTTAAACATTGTCACCAACGTGAGCAATTTATTTCTTTCATATTGTTTTCGCTGCTCGATTTTTTAAAAATGAAAGTAAAATTCTTATAAATAACAATTGTCCGACTGAAAAATTTTAATTAAAAAATGTAACTCTAAATACCTCGTCTGGGATTTTTTACGACAATGCGCATGTTATGTATTATTCCTAATTATGAGTACGCGGACGTTAAAGTGGGTTTAAAATCAGCACAACCATATGTTGAATTACCGCATTACGCATCGTCTGCTCCATTTTCCTTTTTGACAACAAACGTGAAAGTAAAAGGGGAATGAACTATTGTTTTAGAAATATATCCTGGGAACCTGATATATTTTTTCAGCGTGAACTAGTGTGTGTTAGAAAAGGAATTTATTGCCAAATAACTCATCACTCGTCAAACAAAATTCTGTACTGTGCTTTCACTATGTCTTGAACTTACAAAGGAAAAAATTACTACTGTACACAGATATCTTCCGGGCTAATTTAGAACAATCAGGAAGTTTTATAGAGGAAAAGTTTCTTTATCAGACCGAGAAGTGTAAAAATATTTTGAAGTATCTAAGTTTATGTTAGACTACACTTGTCTGTGATTCATATGCGTAAAAATATTTGTTTGTCCGAGCTAATAAATGATAGCTAATGTCTTACGAAAGACAAGGTTTTTCATGAAATTCGCAGGTGGGTGTACTTTTACACGATTACACTTAGTTGCATCATTTAAGAGTGAAAATTTTGAAACTAAGCTACTGACAAATCGACGACGATTTTAGGAGGATCGTGTCGCATTGTTAAAAGTCCAATATTTTAGCAACAATATTTTACATTTTAGTCCATTTCCACACAACTTGATTAAAGCTTGGCACATTGACAAAATAGCACACATAAATTCCTTCACAGAGTTTGCAATTCATTAGGTTGTCATATAATTGCACTGTTACACTGTTTATGTCGAGATACTGAGGTTATTAATTTTGTATTTATTATTGTATTCTATTAAGCGACTATCGTGACTTTTGACAACGCAAACAATATACATAGTTGCTAATATAAAAATTTTCATATACTTAAATTATTTATTGAAAAGTATTGTTTTGGTTTTAACCACTGTTTTAATTGCATCACTTATGGACATACTGTACGCGTCAAATATAATCGGTTTGTCCCCACCAAAAAATTGATGACGTCAGTTCTAAAGCCGTGCTTAGAAGTGGGGGAAGTTTGTCGACAATAAATTAAGAAGTGGTTCATGTAAACCGACGTTTCACTAATCAAACTATAGTCATAATTCTACGCAAGCTTTACACTTCTGAACTAATGAATTAATTCATGTCTTTAATAGACATCTTAGAATTTCAAATTGACATGTACTTTAGGTACTATTGAGTTGAGTAAAACTTAACGCTACAAATTATTAGGTATTAAAAGATAATTTTACACCAGAAAATATGGAATCTCATTTATTTAGTTAAAAAAAAAAATGTAAATGAGTGCGTCTTGATCGCTATTAACAAATCGATTTTTCGTGGCATTTCTGACACTAAAATTACCTGTTTAAATTATGTTTGGTATAAACCTGTTGGCGACATAGCCTCCTACGACTATCTAAATAATGTTTATTTTGAGTTTGTCGCTATTTTGATACAGAATAGGATTGTTATGAATCATAACGATCTTGTTATTTTATTGTTGTATAATAAACGATGTCCGTTAGGTAAATTTACGCGAATGTGACAATAAACATTGCTACTAGTCGTAGGTAAATGAAAATTGGTCGTTATCGAGTGGAAGGAAATCTTTATGGCTTCTAAGATATTGGCTGGTTTATGAAACGGCCAGTTTAACCCTCATAGGCGTCCATTACATGGGGTAGAGAGGTTTGAAACCCCAATAAATTATTCAACAAACTCAAGCTAGAAAGGGATATGCAAAATTTGTTTCGTTAAATTCAAGACTGCCTTGTTAAATAAAATGTATGTGTTGATTCCGTCCACAAAAATGATGACGTCATTTTATTCGCAGTATGCAACACAGGACGTTCCGTTTGCACACTTATTTTTTTATTTTAAGTTCATATAAGTTATCCTTCAAAACGTAAATTCAGATAATTATTTCCAGAAAATTTGCTTATTTAATTTCAAAAATTTTAAATCAAAACATGTAGAAAAAATGAGAATATACCTAATAAAAATAGCTAGTAGAAACTTTCACGTAGTTTTATTCAATTCTTTTACTATATGTGTGTATTTTTTTAAATTGTATTCCTGTTACTCACTTCTTGGTGTTAATGTATAATGAATTCCACATATTTGCCTAAACAAAGTGACTTAAGAATGATAAAATATTACAGGTTTACCGTGGACTATTAAACAAAATTATTCCACACAGTCTATACATATAACTCATTTTAGACATATTTATACTTGTTCTGTTTAAAGGTTCGACACCACAAATGTATTATTTAAGTAATAAATACTGTATATTTTTAAAGATTTAGAGTCTTTATGAAAAAAATCAGATACAAGGTTTTTTTACAACTAATTTTTAAAACAGTTGCATTTTTATAGAAAATAATAATAGGTCTAAAGTTATTTAAACAGAACTTTCGTCGCCTAACCAACGAATTCAGCTTTTTCAAAAATTATAACATTTGATTTTGCGCAACTTTATTACTTCCTAAGAATAAGGTCTCCCGTAAAATAAAATTGTGTAATTTGGGTTACTCTTTACATGTATTATTATTATCAAAGGTTATAAAATTTGGATTTTTTTGCGAAAATCTGAATTCCTAAGTTAATAAATCAAGTCATATTCATAATCTACAAGTACAGCAGTATGTGATTTTATAAAATTTAAATTAAATTACTTTGAAACAATTTAAATCGTCAAATTGTTGTTAGACAAAGTTTCCTTAGCGTTTTGATATTCCTAACATACATATAAAAATGAACAATAATCGGTCTGGTAGTTTCCAAGATTATCTATTTACTGAAAATCGACAGAGATAGACAGACAGACAACAAATGGACAGACAGTCGAAAACGGGAGACTTATTTTTTAGAAGTAGCGGTCTTGAAACGTTGAGAAAACATGAAAGTAACCATTCGACGGAAGGACCCTATTACAATACTTCTTTAGCTTACGTTCGGGAAATAAAAAAATCCGTATGCAAGAGTTCACAGTTACACCATTTTTAAAAATAGAGGTCTAGAATTTTGCATAAAAATTTTTAATTGCCTTACCTTAACAAACTATAAAAAGTTACATAAGGTGTGAACTTACTGATAAGTTTTTCTCATATTTTTCAAATAGAACACCGTGTATTTTATAATATTTTCCAAGTAAACTTTCTTCTATTATCAGATTCATTGAAGTTTATTCTGACAATAATAAAAAAACTATTACTCCTGAAAGATAAACTCAATAAATCTATGCTATCAAAACAAAGCTTACTTAAAACTTACTGTAACATAGTATAGAGTGACACATTTGAAAAATATGAAAAATCTGAGAAATTTAATCACTCTGTTTAACAAGTTAAAACAATTGCCAATTTGCATACGTTTGCCAAGGCAAAGTAATCCAAATGTTTTGTATAATACCCCAGATTGTCATCTTTAAATATAGTCCAGAGAGAAATTTTTAAATGTGTACATATTTTTACTTAAAAACGTAAATATTTGAAACTGTTATTTTTACTGTTCTGATGAGGAACATAAATCTATACCGGGTCTCTGGAAAATGGCGGATTAACTCTCCGCTACGCTCTTAACAATTAACTGATGAGTCTGGGAAAAATAGTACAAAAATTCCTTCTCACATTTTTGTGTAGTTATAATGATCTTAAAATTGGTTCTTTTGCTACGTTTAACAACTAAACAACACACACAATGTCACAGTAACTAGTAATAAAACTTTTAGATAATATTTCTCTCGCCCATGACCATGTTTAATTACCAGAGTTAGGCATAGCCAAAGTGATGGGCCATCAACCAGACAAATATTAAAAACGACGGCGCGACGTCAAGCGATAAATTTGGCTGGCCGACTGTGCAGTCTCAACCACGTCTCAACCTCAGTGACGTTTGGTGCAAATGTTGAACAGTCATTTTTAATTTTTTAAACATTTTAACATCTAGGAGAACTCTTATAACTAAGGAAAACCGCGAAAAAGTAGTAGTTGTTATTAAGAATTCCTGAAGTTGTAGGCCACGACTGCAATAGCGCTGGCGATCGGACAGCAATGAGCATCACTTCCGCAATGCCGAAGTCTGTTAATTACTGTTCAGTTAGAAATATCATTATATTGTTTTTGTAATAATTTGATAAAATTCCATTTGACAACAATGTTCGCTTGATGTTTGACGTATCAAGAGTTATGTCATTTGCCAAAATCGGTTTTATTTTAACAGGTACTAGCCCCGCCCACCCACCCTCTCTTTTCTTAGAGGCCATGTCATTTGCTAAAATCGGCCTTATTTTAGCAGCTATTAGAACCGCCCACCCACCCTCTCTTTTCTTAGAGGGTATGTTATTTGCCAAAATCAGTCTTATCTTGGCAGCTAATAGCCCCGCGCACCCACCCTCTCTTTCCAAAAATTAACTATTTATAAAAAAAGACGCCAAAATGAGAAGGAATTTCTTTGTGGCTTTTTTTTGTCGTATTTTTTTTGTAACATTTTTGTTTTTTCCGTTATTTTTTTTTTTAGGAAGATTGACACAATTTTTCGAATTGAGTTTCTCGAGTTTTCAATTTTTAATTTTTTCATTTTCCAGTTTATCATTTCTTCAGTTTTTCGAGAAAAACGAGAAAGCACAAAAAAGGTACTACGTAAGAGAAAGGGTAAAATATAAGGCCCGCCCACCCACCCTATCTCTATTCTGATGATTTTTTCGTTTCTAATCAAACCGAAGGGCGAAGTTTAATTGTAAAATCAAAATTTTTCTAGAAACTTCTACCCTTTTAAAAACATATTTCGTATCGTAATTTCTAGAAATGGGCCCACGATGAATAAGAAATTCATCACAATTGAGAAGGGGTGGGTGGGTGGGGCTTATATTTTGTAATTTTTCTTAAATCTTTTTTTTTCCCAACAAGAAACTGAAAACATGTTAACTACTGTTATTAAAATGCATTAAACTCTATATTAAAAAAAAAAAACAAAGATTAAACAAAAAAAGACGGCTATCTATATTAAGAAAAAGGGCAAAATATAGGGCCCGCCCACCCACCCTATCTTTATTATGATGATTTTTTCATTCCAAATCAGACCGAGGGGCAAAGTTTAATTGCAACATCAAAATTTTTCTAGAAAATTCTTCCCTTTTTGAAAACATATTTCATATCGTAATTTCTAGAAATGAGCCCACGATGAATAAAAAATCATCACAATTGAGAAAGGATGGGTGGGTGGGGCTTATATTTTGCCTATTTTTTCTTAATATACGAAGTTTTTTATTTCCAACAAGAAACTGAAAATATGTTAACTATCATCCTGTTATTGAAATAAAACTCTATATTAAAAAAAAACAAAGATTATTAAGCAAAAAAGAGGACTACCTATATTAAGAAAACGAGCAAAATATAAGGTTGCTTATATTTTGCCCATTTTTTATTTCCAACAAGAAACTGAAAATATGTTAACTATCATCCTGTTATTGAAATAAAACTCTATATTAAAAAAACAAAGATTATTAAACAAAAAAAATACAAAGATTATTAAACAAAAAAGAGGACTACCTATGTTAAGAAATCGGGCAAAATATAAGGCCCGCCATTAGCCAAAATCATTCTTATCTTGGCAGCTCTAGAAACCGCCCACCCACCCTCTCTTTTCTTAGAGGGTATGTCATCTGCCAAAATCGGTCTTATTTTGGCAGATAGTGAATCGTTTTGTTTTTGTTTATAATTTATAAATGTCTTATTAAATGTTTTTTCTTGGTTTATTTATTAATAATAATGGACAACGATTAATGACTGCTGGTTGCTATGGTTATTGTCCTAAAAAAAAAAATAAAATGTGGATTTCACGCATTAGGTGCGTGTAGTGTTGCCAATTTTACATTTATAAAATACTTTTTTTTTTGTAATCTACATCATGAAGAATTTTTTTATAATTTTTTTGGGACTTCCGAAAGCCCTGTACACAACGTACTGAAGAGTTATTCTGCCATTTTTCAGACACCCGGTATAGCGTATAATTTTCAAACGAAACATCATGTATAACTACAAATAATTTTAAACTGTAGCTCTAATAAGTTGTACAGAGTGTGTTAAATAATTTTTGTCTATTAAACTTTTAGGACACACTATACATTTTCAGACACATTTTCCTTAACCAAAATTTTACGTTCAGATTTTTTCATTATATTTTCTTTAAAATATGAATTTAAAAAATGGGTCAGCATTTTAAACATGCATTTTCTTTTGAGTGGTAAAATCTACAGGTGTCCAAATAATTGCCCACTACTGTTTAGTAAGCAAAAAAAAAATATTTAAAAAATCTAATGTAGAAATTTTAATTATTCTTTTCGATATTTCACCATATTTTTATGCATTACATTTACTGTTGGGAACATGAAATCGACCCGATTTTCATCATTCAAAATAATTGTGGAAGTATGATGTCTTTATCCGTTGATTTCTTCATTTTATAATCTTACAAAGAACTTAAAAATCTTTCATAATGAATCTGACAACAGAGATTTGTACTTTATTTTTGTAAATGGACATCAAATTAACCTCTAATAAAAATCAGAAATATTTAAAGTTTATTGTTTTTCTCGAACTCGACTAAACTTAATCCTGTATCGTTGAATTCGAAAAACGTTCACTGATTTGCATTGTTTGTTACCGATTTTCAAAAATATTAATGTGATATAAAAAAAAATGTTTGAAATACTGAAATGTATTAGCAAAGACCGATTTCTAGAGTCAAATTCAGAACAAAAGTTATACAAAATTACCTGCCTTCAGTGCAGTAGTAGACGTTACATTAACTCTTACGTAGATATTTTCAAAAGAATATACAGGTGTCCCAAATAAAATCCCGCTACCTAATATCTTGAGAACGGATAGAGATATTGAAATTTTGTAAACGCCATCGGTTTTAGCCTGAAGAAGGAAGCCTAATTTAGTACATTGCAAATATGATGCACATCTGCCCCCATGTTTTTTTAAAAGCAACGTACAGATTACTATAGCAATCATATAAAGCACTCACTTGAAGAAAAAATAAACATCATAAATAAGAAAAATAAGTTGAGTAAAATAAAGTACTATTAGTTTATTTTATAAAAAAAATTAAAAATAATCTATTTCATAAACAATCACTGAAGCATATGTCCCAACTGTCATCCTTCAAAGGGAACACAAAACTTATTCCTATTAGTTTGCGATTAATAACACTATCATTAGCATTAAAAAGATTTCTGGCGTTAAAAATTAACAATAGCAATGTAATTGTGTTTACAGTTTGAAGTATTTTTACAGTTAAAACTAATGCAACACATACTAGTGTTTTAACTCATGGCAAATGGATCATATTTGCAATATACTAAATTAAGCTTCCCCTTTCAAGCTAAAACCGATGGCGTTTTCAAAATTTCAATGTCTCTTTCCGTTCTCAAGATATAAGGTCACGGTTTATATCTGAGACACACTGTATACTATATATTTTTTTGAAAATAATATACTACAAGTTATTCTGTTCGAACTAAAAACTTTTACGAGAGCCACGAAACGTTTCTTAAAATCATTTTTTGTTTTTCGACGCGTGATTGTTTTTCTGACTCACAAATATAAAAGAATGTGGGTTTCTAAGCTTCAGTGGGTGTACTTTTTGTAATTATTGTGTTTTTTACTTAACGTTTGTTCTAGAATATTATATTATTTGGCGTTATAATTTTTTTTTAACATTAATTAGGCGTGTGTAGCTCGCCCAAACCTGAGACATCTTTTAATGAAAATTTTACAGAACTCCCGACTGAATTTTTATTTATTATTAAAAAACTGAAACGTCGACTAATTTACATAGTATACGCCATAACATACACATAAAAAATCTGTTTGCTCTGCTGCCACCATTTTTGTTACGACGTGACGTGTCCTTTGCCACTTTCATGAAATATACTGCCCAGATGAAATGAGACGCTGTTTAGATAGTTATGTTTACTCCTACGTGCATGGAACCTTTTCGAGGTTGAGGGTTCAGAGCATCTTTTCTAGTAATGTATTGCATAAATAAAAAACATTTCAACCGGTGCTGAAAGCAATTTTGCACTTTCGACCCCAACATTGCATTAGCCGCATTTCGTATAAATATTTAAGACTGGTCAATGTTTATAGCACACTGCAAGTTTTAAGGATGTAATTAAGTTTTGTCCAGGAAATACCGCACTGCATGAATATTACAGTCCAAAATGTGGTAAACCGAGCATAATGTATGAGTAAGGGCAAAAAAATCCAAAAGAAAAGTTCGCGCTGTTACGTGAGCTCATGGAATCTCTAGCAAAAATAGCTTATACGAGTAATTTATATATTTCAAAGCCGTAAACACTCATTCGTTTATTAAGCAACAGGTACTTCTCGAAGCCGTTTAAAATGTTTAATTCGTCGAAATCCAAGATAAACATCGAAGTGGTAAAAGTTATAAAACAGAATGTGCAAACAAACTTCGGGCGCCGCTTGCGAAAAATCACATACACATTGCATATTTTCGTACCGTTTTGACGGAGCATTTCATATTTGACATGCGGAATTTCAATACATAAATAGATGTCCGGCTAAATTTAACCGACCGCGCTTTTATATTTAAACAAAGAAAGCCGATCCTATTATGATATCGATTTTCGTGGCGAAAAATTCACGACGCTTCATTAAGCGCACAATTGCGGGGGAAATCAGAGGAAATACACTAACAAAGAGGTTTTACCTTTGTCGCCCTCCTTACGGTTCGTATCGAAAATGCTAGTGGTGAGGGCTTTTCTTTTGAGCAAGTATGGCCTCCTTTTTGGTTTATTGGCTGCAGCGCCCACGGTTTCTGCAACAATAGACATTTTATTTGAAAATGCTAAAAAATAACATCAAGGACTGCACTCATTACACAAAATTAAGAAAATATACAATATTCCGTTACAACCTTATGTTTAAAAATAACCGAGTCTTGTAAACAAATACTGACGCTTTTGTATTTAACTTCTAGTTTTAGTTTTATGGGTTTTTCTAAACAATGAGTGCAAGGATTTGCAAGAGCGACTAAAAATTTACCGGCTTCCGTGAAGTTTCGTTTTATCTTGGATGATATCTCGAAAGCTCGTAAAGGTTAGGCAGATAAATAAAATGCACATAGTTGTAAAACTTAAGGAGCTATTAAACTGCTTTCTAGACCACCTAACTCGCATTCTTCCTGAAATTTTAAGAAATGGTGGAATTACAAGAACGGACCACGTTTTCGAAAATAACAATATACAACTTGAACTGAAACTTCACTATTCCATTGTATCTTCATTTAGTAATCGCTCTTATTTTTTACATCGTTTATCAATTTTTGACATTTATGAATTTTTGTGCTTGTTCCAACTATGTGTATTATTAGTGCGGTAGTAAAATATAGAGTTCACTATCAGGTTCACGCTATAGTGTCGTCCCTCTCTTTTCCTCTCATACATCAAACAATTTAAAAAATTTCAGATAAAATATATTAGCGAGTCCAAAAATAAAATCTAAATGCCGTAACAATGGCTGAAATTATTTATTTTAACAGTATTACTTTATCGTTCTCGTATATCCAGTGTGGCACAACAAACTTATAATATTTAGTCATCCAGATTAAGTTGCGGAACGGACCTACATTATTGTCGATAATGTTAAACCAGATGTGTCTGTCTCACTATTTTTAAGCAGAAAATTGGCCTATTTGTGTTGTTAAAAATATAAACTAAATGAAATCTCTCACTTGAACAACACGTCAACTTCGCCTGCAGGTAATTTTGTTCTGGAAATGCTTAAACGTCAAGCCGATCTGCGCTAGGGTCGTCAGGAAATAGAAATTGTTACACATTCATGTAAAAAGAAGAAAATTACAAGTGAACAGATATTTTTCCTTTTCTTAATTAAAAAAATGTTTATTTTAACTTCATCTTGTTATTTTTTATCATTGTAGAGATAATATGTGTCAAATGTTTAAAAATATAAACTGTAGCTTTTTTTTAACAATTTATTTAAACACATCGACTACACATTCAGTATTGTAGAACAACTGATAATACGACTTTTATTTTATCTATTTACTGCACACTAAATTATTTAATACCATTTTATTATTTAAATCTGCCTTACATCAATTTTGTAGATTTCACATTCCTACTGCTTTAAAATTCTTTATATGAATAAGATATATCCGTTGCTATAGAAACATAAAAGCCCTACTTTCAAATTAATTAAAAATAACTTTATTTTTAGGCGACCATTACAAACATTTTACATTCCCAATCACGTCCATGAAGTGTCACGTTTTTGTACTGAAACGTCAAAATTACTTTTTTGTACTCGAAAACTTACTTTTGCGTGTTTTCGACCAGAGTTGCCGTTATTTGAACAGAAAAGAGATTTTCTACCCTCAAAACTGCTTACATAACTAATTATGGCGTTGTATGGTGGCCTAGAAAACGTTGCGTGTACCTCGGCCAAAAAAAACTTTTTCGGCCTCATCTGATTTGTAGCCCTCGGCTTCAAACTTCAGATCAGCCGAAAAAGTTCTTCTTTATGGCCTTGATATACAAATAACTATTAAATATGTATTTTCCGGAATCATTTTAATCATTGGGTTGAAAATTTTGTGAATATGTTAGTAAAAAACATTCCAAAATTTGTATCATAAGCACAAAAAAATGCGTTTAAACACAAAGATTTTCAATTAAATTATAACATCCCTAATCTAAAACTTACAAAATACACATTTTGACGTGTAATTTTTTAGATTAAATTGAAACTGGAAAAAAAACCTGAAATCAGTTTAGTATAAAATGCTTTGTAGTTACCAGCAAACAAAAATAATACTCCTACATTCTAGATATGAGTTAATCCATGTTAATCCACTCGATTTTTTTTCTTTTGATAAGCAGCGTTAATAATTTAAAAACGGAAATAAACTTATTTTGGACAAGTAGAGCAACAGTGGTCACGGATAATTCTTAAAGTAAATGTAATTTAATTTAATTATTTTTTCAGTGAAAAAATTTTAATAACTTCAAGATGGTCACCAAATCGTTATTCGTATTTTACAAAAATCTGTCTGTAGCATCTACAGAAACAAAACAAAAAATATAGTAGCATTATACGATATGATCGAAAAAAAGTCGTCTAGTGAGCCATGAAATTTATTTGTAAAATAATGATTTTGGTATTGCAGCTATTTGACCGTAACTGTCAAACCGAACAAGAAACGCGTTAGTGTTGCCAACATGTTTTTTTTTACATTAAATATCACTAGTTGCTAGACGACTTTTTTCTAGTATATGTATATTAACATGGTTTTTCTGTAGAACATAAGTTACCTATATTCAGAATCAGTGGTTCAAATTCTTTTCTTTGAATTATAATGAAAACAGGACTGTGTGTTTCCAAACTGGTCAAAAAAACTGTAATTAAAATTGCTACTTCAAAAATAATTATTGTATTAATATTATGCAATAAGTTGATTTAGAATATAACATGTATGTATGTATGCATTTTCTATGCAAAATATTAAGCCTTTTTTCAAAAAACCTTATACGTGGTATGGTATATTATTTTGATATTTATATAATAATTTAATGTGTTCTCTTGAATTTGAAAATTTAAAGCAATGCCTCAGCAATGAATTTGGGCTATATTATGATTGCTATTATTTCTGACCGACATATTTCTGATGCCGTTTAACATGTAGGCTGTCCGTAATCAACGTTTTGAATTTTTCAATAAATACATGTTGGATTAGGAACTTTTTGAGTTTTCAACTTTCGGATTTTGACTTTTTTCGTTTTTTCGGTGTTTCGAATATTCCGTTCCTCGATTTTTAATTTTTCCTTTCTCTAATATTTTGTGTTTCAAGTTTAATTTTTCGATCGTTTAGTTTATCGTTACTTCACTTTTGAGATTTGCAATTTCTAGATACCACAATTTTTTTATTTTTGCATTTTTCGGTTCTACAAATTTTCGTGTTACAATTTGTTTGGAATTTCAAATTTAAAATTTTGCGTTTTCAACTTTTAGATTTTTCAGTTTTTCGATTTTTAATTTTTCGTTTTCCCAATTTTTTTATTTGCAATTTTCGAAGTTTCCAGTTTAATTGTTTTAATTTTAAGATTTTTCAATATTTCGTTACTTCACTTTTTAGATTGGTTTCCTTCTATTGTTATTTTTAGCTTTCTCAATTTTATTTTTTCGTTTTTACAGTTAGATTTTCAGTTTTTTTATTGAAACTTTAGCTTTTTTATCCATAATTTAAAAATGTAAAAACGAGAATTTGGTTATTTAAAAGTTAAAATTTGAAAAGACTAAAAATTAAAAAACTGAAAGCATGAAAATTTGAATTACCGTTTCATTCAAATAAAGGAAAATTAAAATATCTACAAATTGAAAAATCGAAGAACGAAAAATTGAAAAACCGGAAACTTAAAAAATCGAAACATCCAAGAAACGAAAAACTGTAAAATTGAATAATTCTAAATCGAAGAAACTATATGTAAAATCGAAAAATTTAAAGATTCAAGAGTTGATAAATATTAACTTTGAAAAACGTAAAACAAATTTGAAAAATTGCAATATATATTGTATAAGGTAGTCCAGCTAAAATCGGAAAATCGAAAAATTGCAAAATCGGAAAACTAAAGAATTTTTGAAATGGGTGCTATTAAAAAAATGCTCAGTCAACACAATATACATAAATAAACGCGGCGATAGCAATTAAAAATTAATTTGTTAAGAAAAATTTTAATATAAAAAATTGAAAAATCCAAAAACTCTAAAATCTTCTTGAATTAATTTAGAATAAATAGAATTACTAAACAATTGAGAACTTGAAAAAATTAAAAGATAAATTAAACATTGAAATCACGATTAATTGAAGTAAGGAAAACTTGAGAAGTCCAAAATTGAAATTTTGCAAATCAAAAATCTGAGGGGCCAAAAACTTACAAAATCAAAAAAATACCAAAAATTGTAAAATTGAAAATCTGAAGACTGAAAACTAGAAAACCTAAAATCGGAAAACTGTAGTGTCGAAAAATTGAAGAATCAAAAACTCACAAATGGAAAATTTGAAAATCCAAATATTAAAAATCTAGAAACTGGAAAGTCCAAAAACTGAATAATCTAGAAATTGACAAATCGGCCAACTGTAAAATCCAAAAATTGTAATTTAAAAAATTGAAAAAATCAAATGTTGATATCTTAAAATTTTGAAATACTTACTTAAAATTGAAAACTCAAAAACTTGCGAATCCAAACATTGTACAATTAAAAAATTGCAAAATAAAAATCGAAATACTGAGAAATCGTAAAACCAAAAATATAATTTTTCAAAAATTCCAAAATGGGCGCTATTAAAAAATCCTCAGTCAACACAATGTAAATAAACGTGATGAAAGCAAAAATATTCGAATGACACCGATGTGATTTGTTGTCATTATCGAAATTAATACATACCCATGATTAAAATGATACAAGTTAAAAAAATTTAAATATAAAAATTGAAAAAATAAAAACAACAAAATCGTAAAACCGAAAAACTCAAAAGTTCAAAGATCATTTTTTAATCTTGAAATATGTAAAACCTTGATTATTCCATAAACACGTCTTTTTTTTTTGTTTTAATGTCTATGATTCCAAAATAATTCATGTTAAGATTTTTAACTGTTCACGATTTTGATGCAATTTAAGAACAACCACATAATTATTATCCATATAAAAACACATAGCGGAAATTCACTTATTCACGCTTTACTCTTTATCTTTAATCAAGATATCTAAAAGTTCTGGATGTCTTTACTTAAGTCATTACATTATCCACATTAACTTCTCGCTTTGAGATTTATAATAATTCATTTTGAAGGAAAGAATTTTGACATTTGTGATCTGTCGAATTAATTTATTGTGGACTCGAAAACGACAGGAGTTTAATATTTCCTTACACATTTACTCGTTTCTTACGACTTGAATCTGAACATTTAGTTTCGAAGGACGCCAAGCGTTATTTTGATTTTGATCGTATTCCATATGTACTTTGTTTGTATGTCATGTGGACGACAATGCAATCGTGATGAACTAATTTTGATTTAATTTTAATTTAATTTAATGAATAATAATGTTGCTTGCTTTATTTCTTGTAATTCTAATACATACTCATTCAGTTATCGTTATAAATTCAAGAAACATAAATTTTGCTTGGTTTGCGAAGACGGGGTAGAGAGTATAATATGCGGCAGGTGTTCTGAGCATAGAGATGTGGTGTGTATGCTATCCCTGTCAATAAAGTAAAATCATCGAAGAGGGGTGACAGACTACGAGGAGGAACTTAAATTATGCTTTCGTTACAACGTCCTTTGTAGCACGTTTGCTGATTTCTCGACTGTCACAATTTAATTTTGAATTTTTTGCGTGTTCACTTGTTCGTTTTGGCGAGCTGTTTGGGTTATCACAATACGAATATAGGTGAAATTAACAATATTTGGCAAAGTGGGAATATTTTAAATATACTGAATAATAGTAGGTACTTAAAAGTCTTTTAACATATCTTACAATATAGGATTTGCAGTTTTATTGAAATAAAAGTACAAGAGCACGTAGTAAAAACGAAACACACGGTTCCTAGTTTTTACGGTTTTCCTCTCATGTCAGTCCAAACAATGATTACACTGTAAACTTCACAGGGAGACCCGCGTCCGCGTAAAAGGTACAACAAGGTTAAATACCTTGTTGTTTTACAAAGAGGAGGTATAGAGTACAATATGCAGCAGGTTTTTTAGGCATAAAGATATGTATTTTGTAACTGTCAGTAAAATCATCGAGGAAGGGTGACAGTCTAGCACGTTTCTACTCTCACAATCTAATTATTTTTCTCCTTATATGATTAAATTTGTCATATACAAATATATGTGTGTATGTATAATATTTGAGTTTCATTTTTGAAAGTTAGAAGAAGGTTTTTGATGTGGGAAATCAGTTCGCTTGTCCGCAGTTTTTCTTTCCTCAGAATATTTTGCATTTTAATTTAGGGGCACTTTGCCAATTTTGAGGTTCATTTTGCATTGGAAGGCATTCGACCGTACACGCGATCACAGTTCAAGGTCAAATTTTAAATTTTTCGCGAGTTTTAAAATTTTGTTCATACGTTAATTCTGGTAGAATATTTGGGTTATCACAATACGAATGCAAGTGAAATTAACTATATTTGGCAAAATTGTAGAGAATAACAGATCTTAAAAATCTTGCAAGAAACATTTTTCCCCAAATTTTTATAAAATACCACTAAAATATAAAAACGAATTTCTCCTAAGATTTTTAGTTGCCATAATACTTGTTATTAAAAAAAAAAAAGAAAACTGCTACAGACACTCATAAACCTTGGAAACGATTCAGTAAAAATAAAGAAAAAAATATATACAGTAAACCACATAACAAAAGAAGTTATATATACATCCAAAGCACAACAAATACTTATTGCATGTATGCATGACCCGGTGAAGTTTTTAAACGATTAAAAATATATTCACTTTGATGTGTACCACGTATTTCAATTATAGCACAACTGTATATACAGAATTTCACGGAAATTTCATAACAACAATTGATTAGCAGCTGACTGTATTAAATTTATGTTAAATTATAATAGTATTGGGACAAAAGCGATCATAAAAGAAAGTATAGTCAGGCTTAAGTGGATTTTTGTTTACAGCTATATGAAATCGTTATCAATAAATTAACTAAAAAACGTTCAAATATATTAAAATAGTGTAAATGCTACACGACAAGTATAAAACTTGGTAATATAACCCTGAAACGAATACGATACTTCAGCTCACACCACCTTATTAAGTGGAATATAGTGGAGAGAAACTGAACAGTTCCCTAGACACGAGAATTAACATTGAAGTATATAGTTTTACGGGTTTTTATTTGAAAGTTTAATTTTTCTAAATATTGACTTCTGATAATTTTGACAATGATAGTTGTGGAAATGAACAAGAAATTTTGCGTGAAAATCGGTAACATAATTTAAATAATGAAATGGACATGCAATAGAATTTTAAATTTCAGTGCACACCCTTTAAATAAGTATAAAAAAGTGGAATTACGTCAAACATTTTCAGTATCGATTAAATTTTTATTTAAATTGTCTCTACAAAGGTTTTGTGTTTAAATACCCTGTCTTAATTTGTTTAAACACACTACTCCCATTACGTAGGCTTAAAAGATCCACCGAGTTACCCTTCACGTTACAAAGTTAGTGTCAAGTGTACACGGCCATATTACTTAGTTAAAAAAAGCACAAACATTATAACTAAAAGCTCTTGGGCACACGAAGTTCATAAGACTTCGTTTAATTAGTTTTTTTAATCGAAACTATCGTTAATTTTTTAATTTTACTTAAGTTCATCATAAAGACTTAAAACTAGTGAAGCGACAAGAAATTCTAATACCTGTTGGAACTTTAATGGCAACTCCTAAATTGAGAGCTTGCAACTTGGCTAATGCGACCTTCTGTAAGACTTTCCTTTCAACATCAGTCAGTTGCAATAAAGTGGTAACTCCTAAGACAACTTGACGCCCCGTCAGGTTGCTCCACACGCATCCACCCTAAAAGAGAATAATGCGTTAACGAAAAAATGCGAAACCATATAAATATTCACATTTAAAAACCAAATGTCTTCTATTTTCGCCAATTACATTGAACTGGTGATTCGTCAATGTTTATTTTGGAAAACTTGCAAGATATTCAAGTTTCCATTAAAAAATAATATTTTTTTTTAGAACGGAATTGTTCGAACAGAATTAAACGACTATTAAAACTTTATGCTTCTGGCAATGTAAGTACGCAAATATAAAGTACAGAAACCCATATACATATGAATTTCATTTCGCGAACATAGCTTAATAGGCAGACGGTGTTAATAGCTTTCGTATAAATTTTCACATTTTTCCCACTAAAATAGAAGATTTGTTTTAAAAATAGGCCGACGCTTGCAACAGAGCTTTACTTGTTTGCCGCTTGCATTACGAAAATTAGATCGCAATGATATTGAACAGATTTTCTATTTGTGGGCGAACCTGGCTCAGGCCAAGAACAAAATCCACAACAATAATTACGCGAGCAGGAAAACGCTCCCAGTGCAAATAAATGTTACCAATATTAGGATGCAAAATATGTTTTCGTTTTATTCAAAAAAATTTTATGACTAAACGCAAAGATCTAAAGCAATTTTTAAACGTTTCACAACGTTGTTTGCATGTCTAGAACTGAACCGCGGTTTCGCGGATCGAGGGGGAGGTGTGACGTACGAGCGCCAGCGAGACCTGCAAAAACACTTTCGACCCAGATATATACAACGTTTTCTCCACGATCACTTAAACTTAAAAAATATTATTCTTTTACGTAATGAAAAAAGGCAAACAATGTATTCTTAAACAAGGTGGAAAGTTGCAACAACTCAAAAATAATGACAGGAAATGTATCTCAGTCATTTATACCAAAGTATTGAATTCATCCATTCATAAGGTTCACTGTCAAGGAATCATCAATGGCACACAGTTAATCATTTTTTACATCAAGCATTTTTCAATGACAGTAACTTTTTTAGCCAGAAAATATTTTAATCGTCGTGGTGGCACATTTATCTAGTTTTTTTATTGTTGTTAGAAAGCCACACCATGAATCTAATATCTTGCAAAGTATGTAGTAATTTATCTAGTGTTCTTGGAAGACCTTAAGCAACGTGTTTAAGTAGTTTGTCGTGTAGATCTAAGTCTAAAGATCATCTGTTTAAGATCTTTTTAGATGATCTTTAGACTGTATGAAATTTAGTGTCATATTGTTGTCACTCTACATACCTGAGGTGTCCAACTGCAAGTAGCCTGCGACGGCCTCGTCTGGCTTTTTGATCTGGACCGGAAAATCTTCTTCGCCATGAGTCGACTACCATGGTGCATAACACTGGATGAAGATTTGGATTTTTGCATGGCCTGCCCAGTCGCCACGGCTGCAGCATTCGTTTTATCTTGTTTATCATGTTTACCATGAAGCAAATGACTCAAAAAGGAATGAGATTTAACTGGAGGAGGAGAAGTAGGAGAAGATTTGTTGTTCTCATCCACGCCTGCATCGATACTACTACGCGAACTAGAAACGCGACTTTCGGCATCGGACAATTCGGGAATTTGATCAAAAATCAAATCTTTGTATGTCAATATCCAGTCGTCGTTAGTCTGACAACCTTTATTTAAACCGTCATCGTCACCCGGTTTGGTTATTTCACCCTTCGCTTTAATATTTCTTAAATTTCGATCGTAATTGACGCGCTTGAACCTGTCGGCTTTATCAGTATCAACGCTTTTTTTTCTAGCCATGCGCAAATATCTTTTGATTGTGTCACTAACTGATTGAGAGATGTCGTCATTGTCGACGCTACTTCGTCGTCTACTTGCCGGTTTTAACTCCAGTTTTTCTTCTTCTTCTTTTTCGGCGAGAGATTTCTTGTATTTATCTTCTACGTCCTGCAAGACGGAATCCAGAACTGGGGTAGTTTGAATGCCCCAGTCACGATAAGTGATCTCTATGTTCTCATTTTCTATTTCTATTAAAGGTGGTGGATGTACAGATTCGTGTATTCTTTCTTTTAGTTTTTCGTAGTTAGAATTTTGAACAGGATATTTAGACAAAGTCGTGGTAAAAGGAATAGTGGTCGAAAATTCAGCACTACTCACGGTTCTTCTAAAACCCCTTGTTTTTCTCAAGTCAAAATACAATTTTTCTAGAGCTTTCCTGTTTGTAAGTAAGTCAGAAATTACTTTATCTCTGCTAGAATGTTGACTGAAATATCGACTAAGTGTTTCTGAAAGTGATTTTTGGACATGATCTCCACTGAAATGAACATGAGTTGTTTGACTATGATAAGTAGGAATAGACGCACAACTTCGGCTAGCCAAAGTTAAATGTCGCTGCAGCCTATCAATGAGCTCCTGATAATTGACATCCGGTGGTTTGTAAGTAGACGTCGATGGCGCTTGTTCTGAAACCTTCAAATATTGTTCTAACATCGTAATTAATTGTTTTTCGTCAAACTCTTGTTCTGTAGTTTTAGCAGCGACAGGAGAGTAATTCGTAGGAGACGGCGGCTTATTTAAAAAATCGTACTTCATTTTCTGGATATCTACCCTACCACCCGAGTTTGCAATCAAAGGCAAGTCTGTAGGTCTTTCCAACTTAACAACGTCAACGTCAACGTCGTCTGCAGAGCAAGCTTTCCTGCAACTGCCACCTTTTCTCCTATCTTTGCGTTTTTTGCGAAGAGCCAAAGCACCGGGGTACGAATTTTTCCTCCATAAGAGGAATCGCGGTTCTCTTTTGCACACTTCCTGGAAATAGGCTTCTATTTTGGGTATATCTTCTGGTCGATTTTGGGCACCATCAGGTATGAGTTTGCGACCGGCGTCCGCCATGTACCTCCATGTTTTCCTGGTTAGAAGCCATCTTTCTTTGGGCTTCTTTTTCTTGTCGCGCACTGAACGTCCCATCGTCAAAGAATATTCGGTGCTTTCGGTGGAAGCGCTTCTGCCTAAGGTTTTGCGTTTATTGCTACGTTCGGCCATGTTACTGAATCAACGGTAAAGTGCAGTAGTGTTAAAGTTGTGACATAGTTTTCTCTAAGCATTTGAGATGATATATTTCAAACAGGTTTTCATAATTTTACCTGTCACGGGAACTTCTTCAATGCAAACATATTGGCAAGGTGTCAAGATTGCTTTGTTTTACATTCAACAAGTCCAAATATTTTCTTCAATTATCGTAATAAACAATAAAATAGTTTGAAGAAAATTATAATCTAAAACTGTACCTCTTTCTTGGCAAACATCTTTCGAATTTCGGCGTAGGCTTGCAGATATTTAGATTGTTTCATCACACGTTTTAAGGGCAGCGCGGTACGTAGGTAGGGATTTTGCTTCGAGAAAATTGGGTTTCGTAAAAACTGCTAACCTGTCCCCTCGGGATAGGAAGTAATCAAGTGTCAATAATTCGTAATAATTTAGTGTTTACTGTCACTCGCTTAGTTATCACACCATACAACTGAATACCTAAAATTACCACTAACTAAATTTAGCACTTCCCGACATTATTTTGTAATTAGCACGGTTTTCGGTTTGGGGGTTCGGTTGTTAACGTGTTTGTTTGGGCTGTCATGGTGGATTTTGTAGGTTTTTTTGGACAGTCACGCGGTCAGTTTAAGTCCACTTGGTTAGCCACTCAACACTGACGCGACAGAGCAAGTAGCGGCTACTTGGAAACAAAAATATCCCATTTGGCAAGAGACACCTACTAAGCTAGACAGAGTTAGCAAAATAAAGATAAATATTAGATTATAGCAACAGCGATAGAATAAACTTTCGAATGCTTTCGCAGAATCAAAAGATTATGTTCATTTTTTTATAGTGGGCTCACGACAACTCATATTGTCTTGCGAAATCTCTCCTCAAAATAAACTCTCCTATAAAAAACCTCGCAAGCGTCGTGATGTAATTTTTTGAATTATGCCAACGAAATCATTCAAAAATTGGTGCACGGAAATGAATTTATTTTAGTGCGTGTCGAGGAAGTACACTTTTTGCTATTATTCATTATAAAATGTGCAGCTGTTCAAGTTCACGGCGGCCTGAAATTCCTCTTGAGCTGCTTAACAATCATCAAATTAACCTCCTGAAAATACATTAGTAACCTGTGCGAGTATCAAATGTTTTTCTAAAAATAGACAACGGCTGCATTTATAGATCTATAGTGAAAAGTGCCACCGCAACTACTTTTAGTTCACAATTGTACCACAGTGACAATTTTTTTTTCGGAAAAATTTTATTCATACAGAGCTATTTTTGTTGCACTAAGGAGACTGTAAACTTTTATTGTGTCCACGCATTTTATCGCAATGAACTATTTACTATAGCTTCAAGCTGGAAATAGGTCGCGTTATGTAAATTGCAATTAGATTTAGAATTTATTTGAGTACAAATATTTTAGACACCGGGGTTTACGAGGTACCGCATAGCTAAGTCTTTTGTTATTGCTCTAGTTTGTTCTTTAAACTTCGAATCGAAGCAGATTACCTAAATATTTCGAATTGCGAAATCAGGGATTTTTTTGACGGTTCACAGTTGTTTTCGAACTTCTGGCATGAAGAACTATAAATACGTTTAGCTCTTTCTTAAAAGATAAGCTAAACCATGTTTGTCTAACCATTTTTTTTAATTATACGAATTATACAAACTTAATTTTAATTATTTAAAAATACGGTAAAATAAAAACTGTTTCAGTATGTGTGCTACCATTTATGTTGAATATTTACCATATTTGCCTAACAAACTTTATAAGTAAAATTCTGTCCGTTTTAAATATTCATAAGCGTATAGATTAGCAAATTTATATCTCGCTAGTACACACTAATTTGGTTTCGTTAACTTTGAAATGTAATCATTTAACCCCGAGGCTAATAATTCGAAAAAAGGTCCGTCAGGAATATAAATGTTTGAACTCAATATTATCAAATAAAATTTGTTTGAAATGTGATTATTTTCGAGACCATCCATCTAATCGGTTGCTCAAGTTTGTAATAAAATTGTAAGCCGACTTTCATAAAGGTCAGATCTCTTATAATTTTCAATTGTCTCTTTTATGCGACTTCGCTTTCTATAATTAACGTAACTTGTAAAACTTCGCTTATTGTTTTACTGGAACTCGGTAAGCTCAGAAGAATAACAGAATAAATTCGCTGAAGCAATATGCTAATATCCATTCTTTCAGGATAAGAACATTTTTACAACCACCAGAATTGTGCTTGAGAGAACACAGCTTTCATAAAAGCAGATAAATCACTCGTGAAGATGAAATCTTTAAATTATTAAGGAATAAGAATTTGCACTTAAACCCTTTCATTTGTAATTCGTGATATTTTGAAAATAGGAAGACAATTCAATTCAAATGCAAATTTACCTCCAGGTAGAAATATAAAACTGATTACAGCATTTATTAAAAGTAGCTACGAGTGCGGGTTACTTTCTGGAGGGAAAAGTTTAAATTCGTGGGCATGTTCGGGTTCTAGCTCACTTATTGGTGGGGAAGAAAACGCAATACAAGCACGCGCAGCAATTCAAATTTTCCCACCAAACAGTGATCCAGAACCCACGCTATATAACTACTATTGAAAAACAAAAGTGACAAAACTGTCTTATGGTTTTCTTCTAAAATTACGCACTAAATATCGTATCACAAAACAGCAATGCCAGCGTAAAGAATATTTTGTGTTATGTGTCTAAAATACGAAAAAAAAATTAGAGGAAATTTCAGCATCTCGCCTTTAAAGTTGCTGCCAATTTCCGCTGTGAGTTTGTTTAAATTTAAAATTATGTCATAAACTTTTCTTCCCGGTAAATATACTAATTTTAATATTCAATTAGAATGTAATAGAATTTCAGGGAGATAATCGATGAAAAATACTGTGTATGAAAATTTGGAGTAAAGCTCACATTTCTTATGGGATTACTTAACGATATTTTGACACCACCATTTTTTCAGGACATATATGTATAAACATCTTTGGTTAGCATTTTATTATCCTTTCAACAATTTTAATCTAAAGCTAAAATTTATAATAGACAGAATACCGCAGAAGCTGTGAAGCGCCATGCAAACACCTAAACATTCATCAAAATAAAAACTAAAAAAAAAATAGAGCAAGAAAAACACTCTGACACATCAAAATTCAAAACTGTTAACACTCTCAAAGCTGTAATCTCATATTTTTCAAACGACTACTTTATTTTTGTGTTTATTTTGAATGAGTACATAAAAGTGAGTATAAGCATGTTGCTTTCACGATTTTTATGGATTTTATGTTCTTTTAAGTAAAATCTTGTTGAAGACATCATAACTTCGAATGTTGCAACCAAAGTTTCTCAAAATTCTTGTTAGAACCTGGCGCCAAGAATCGTCTGAAATGTGGGAGCGATTTTATCAAATTTCAGCAATAATTTTTACACAATTCTAGTGACATTTCAAAAAGCTGTCATCCACAGAATGAGACTTGAAACCTTCAATGACCGTTTTTTATTCAACAGTGGTTAATTTACATGGTAGGGTTGTTAAATACAATTTCAAACCGTTTTTCCTTGACAAACATGATAAATTTTGTGTTATTGGACTGAGAACGCAACAAACACAACAATTTTACGACAGTAAAATACATAGCTTTATTTTAAAAAGTGCTAAGGTTGGTTTTCAAATTTTTCTAAAATTACAACAAAATTAATAATTGCTTGCAAGGTCGAGAGCGTGAAATTCTACAGGGCATGTTTCTCCGTTCATGGGGTCAAATTTTCCCAATCGATGGCTGTAATGGAACTATTTTTTTTATTAATAGAGTTATACCACAGATCCAGGAGTAAACCTAGACACTGGAGCTTTAGATTTTTAATAAGATAAGTATGATAATTAAAAAAAAAAACATAGTGTTACTGACTTAAACAAAAAATATAGAAATAATCCCATACTATGGATCGTAGGACGAGAGTGTAATGCTCATAGTTTAGATAATGATTTGTAAATGTGCACGGAATGCACTAACTCGCTAAATAAATATTTTGTGAAAGTTTGCTAACTGTTTGACTGATTGATATACTTTTTTCACGCTTTATGTTATGACTATATGTTTCAGCACTTCTGAAATTATTGTATTTACATAATTATGTGGCAATACCTACAGACTAGGAGAGTTTTAAAATCACACTGGGTTAAATCTCGTAATACTTGTTACAACAAAATTTTACACATTCTAACATACTTAATTAATTCAACTACATCCAAAATAGTGTCAAACGGAAATCGACATTTTCGTATTGTACAAACTTCCTTAGCTTACGCCTCAGTAACAAGAAAAATAATAGAACTAATATTTAAAAATACCACTTGAAGGCATGATACACTATGATAACAAATTTTTAGTTGTTGCGCAAATTTATTTTATTGATGTTTGTTTAGGTGTAGTCACGTCATTTTTCCACCTTGGATTTTTTTATATCTTTCCTGGTACTAAAAAAGTGCTGGTGACGTCATGACTTTGAAACCATTAGATCACTTTTCGAAATTGTTCTTAATGTGAAAAACTGTTTGAAATGTTTGTCTTCAGTTCGTCTTCTTCTAGATTTAGTTTTACTTGGCTGCTAAAAGTCTTCGCCTCTATGTTTATGCGCTAAAAAATTTGTGGCTGACACAATTTTGACACCGTGAAAAATTTTGCTTATCCAATGCAGTCTGCATAAAAGAAAATTCGTCCTGTCTGGGCCCTCTGCCAAATTGCATTCTTGCATATCTCATAAAATTTACTCCATATATTACGAAGACACTCCATAACCTTAAAACGCGACAGACTATGTCAAAAAGCGTAAAACTTATCTCAATGAGAAATTTATGTGCCGGTGAATCAGATCAGCAAAACCTTTTTATTTTTATGATATTTTTCTGCTTTCCTACAAGCTCCAGTAATTTATTTAGTTATTTACTTCTTATCCAACGTAGGTGCTGCTATTTCAGTTGTAACTACTTCTGCTTCCTCGTCACTACTTTTTTTAAGCATCGTAATTTCGAAAAAATAAATGATTTTTATCAGCACAGATAATCGAAATAATTGACTGAAAAGACCACCAGTGGTGTATAAATTTTAGCGTTGGCGTGGCATAATGACGCAACCCACGCATTGCTAGCATATTTCTTATTAACTTAAAAACACTTTTTGAATCAAAATAAATTTCAAGTGGAACTTGTAATCATAGCACGATAGAAAAAAATGTTTTCTAAGACAAAATTGCCGCAGGAGTGCTCTAATAAACATTAAGTTTTCATTCAAAATTATTCCCATTCATCATATCGGACGCTGACACGTTTTCCCCAGACAGACAGAAATACACTTAAGTGCATCTAAAAGTATCTAAAAGTTATGTGTACTTGCACTTTAACGACTTTTAGAGACGATAGTTTGAAAAATTGCTACGAAACTATTACAGGAATTTTTAGAATGCATTACAATTGCTTTCTATTATAAAATGTCGTGAAAATGCTTACGTAATGACGCAAACTTCCTCATTCTCAGATTTACCTTCGATTTTTTAATTGAACATAGTAACTACTATATCAAATGTAGACATAAATCTTTAAGGTACTAAAAAAATTAGTAACCCAAAGCGGCTGAAAATTTAACTGAA